ATTGAAATATTACGGTATTTGGCAAACAAATTATTGAATAACAAATGTTCAAGGCTAATTCGAATCACTCAAAGATTCGTCTTCAAAGTAATTCTGGGACATCTCTTTCACAATATATGGGCTTCTGGTTACTTTAGCCATGCGAATCAACATGACCCATTGATCGGGGGTATAAATTGCCGGTTGTCGATGTTTGGCATTTTCAATGACATAACATGCATTCGTTTTGTATGTGACCTGTTTGTAGGAATCGATGAATGATCTGCAAATTAAGAGTCATAGAAGCATAAGAAAACGTCGAGAACATGAAACGATTACGATTTTCTCCCCCACAGTTGTCAGAGTACAGAATACAACTACCTATTTCGTTTGGTCCTCTCTTCGCAATTTTCTCATGCCAAACATAACAGTAGCCTTCATGGCTTAACATATCATAAATTGTAAACTTGTATGTGGCGAGCTAACTCTTGTAATAGAAGTCGCTCACTGCAGATTGAGGTGTCATGAGGACTTTTTGTAGGTCAAAACAAGCGGCACAAACCGACTTATGTTTGATCGCCGTGTCCTTATCTGCATCTTTCAAGGCTCTAGCGGCTTTATTATTAGAAACGTGTTTTTCATACCTCTCTTGTATTTTTTGTTTATCTGCTGGACTTGCTACTTGATAGGCCATACAGAGGCTGCACTGTTCTTCTTTGGTTTAAAGAATGCTAAATTAAATTCTAAATTGATAATCTCTCTACACTGTCTCAAAGTACCCACTTCTTTAACATTTTTTTTTGTATGTATTTTAAGTATACGACCCCCTTCTCACTTCAAGATTTGTACCAAAATATGCCTTTATAAACGAAACATGACGAAACTATGTACTTCTAAAACAATTTATTTTCTCAAAAAGATTTTAGATACACTCTAGTCGTAAAAAATACTTATTTGCACTTAGACCTATAACTAATAGTACATCTGAACAAATAAACAATGTGCGAATAAATGCGCGAAGTTAACAAAGCAACAACTGAAAGATTACCATTGGATAACATCACCTTTATTTTTTATTACGGCTGAAATTCTTTGGGGTATAGTGTTACCTAATAAAGTCTTGGCAAAAATTTGGTGTAAAACAATCCCATATTTCTTGAAGCTTTTGTCTCAGTTCGGTGATTGTACGAGCAGGATGTTGTCGTAGAACCTTTTTCATCTCGTGCCACAAAGTTTCAATAGGTGACAGATCTGAACTGCTAGAAACCCATTTCAAAAGTGGTACATTATTTTCTTCCATCCATTTTATAGCGTTTTTTGAGGTATGGCATGCTGCACCATCTTGCTGAAACACAAAATCTTGGCCGGATGTCAAACATTCTTCCATCACTGGTAAAAGTTCTTCTAAAATTGCTAAATATTTGTTTGTATCCACATTTCCATAAATAAAATGAAGTTTTCCTATTCCTTTTGATGACATACTGCCCCAGACCATAATGGATGTTGGAAATTTCACTTTTCTCTTCAGACAGTCAACATGGAATGCTTCATTTTTTTGCGAATAACTGTACTGCGACTGTCACCAACACAAACTTCGAATCGGGAATCATCAGTCCATTGTATTGCACACCATTGTTGAGGTGTCCATTGTCTTGTTCTTTAGCCCATCTGAGCCGATTTTTCTTTTGCAGTGGAGTTAATAGTGGCTTTTCTTTGGCCGATAAACAAGTTGTGCAACTTTAGGGTTTTTACTTTTTTTTATAAGAAAACTTAGCTTGCAAGTGCTAAATCCCAGTTTGTGGGCCTCTCTACGAGTTGTGGACCTCGAAATTCTCCTTCCAACAGCGTCACTCCACAGAGCACTTAATTGTAAATAATTGGCACGCCTGTTCTTCTTAATGCTCTTCGGTCGGCCGTTGTGATACTACTTTTTTTCATATATCGTGACTAATTAACTGAACCAGTTACGTTTTATCTTCCAACAATATTTCTCATACTGTACCGCGATAGGTCTAACAAAGTTGTAATTTCTGAGTTTGATTTCCCAGAATTAAAAAAATTAATTATCAGTAACCGAATTTTCTCACTAATAACCTTTCCTCTACCCATTTGGAAAACCTTAACTACCCAAAACTATTTTAAACGTATTCTGACAGCTGTGATTAATAAAAACAATCGTCATGGCTTCTATTTTTCACAGCCACCTAGGCGTTATAGACTTATTTTTCATTGAAATGAAAATAGGTTCATATGCTGTAATTGCAACATGTGTTATTTTTATGCTGCAAATTTGATTAGGGAATGATAAAGTTGGTGTTTTCTAGTAGGTATATATTTTCAAACTATTCATTGTAAATATTTTAAACCTATAACACCCTGCTACATTTTTATTATTTGTGTTTTATAAGAAAAAGTCTAAGATTTCAATAGTTGGGCCAACTGAAGTGGGAAGAGGCTTGTAGTCGGTGCCTCATTGCAAGCTTAAGGCCATCTTCTAACTACATATTTGTCGGTTTAGTTCTGGTGTAGTTGGAAGGCATCACAGGAAAAAGTTTAACGTGTTGTCTAATGCCATTTAAGATACCTTCATCAATTTTGCTTGGTCTTGTAGAGTGCTTTCCTCTTCTTTTTCAAGTGAGCGTGTTTTTCGAATTTTACTTAGAGCAGTTGTCACCCACTGTTCTGATAACCCATGAGTATTAAGGAACATAGCCTCGCAGACCGTTATTTCATTATTATTAACAGTAAGCAGATATTTTTGGAGAAATTCCGTTTTGATACGCGATTGCTTCTTCTCACCTGTTTTTTGTCTACTGTCTTAACATACCTTGCTATGTAATCCCATTGTCTAGTATGGTCACCTATTCTCCAAAATTCTTCAAACAATACTTTTCTATCTTCCTCACTTATCTTCTCACGACATTTAATTCTGCAGTTTTCTTCACAGGGATCTTTTAGCTGTTTGGCGGGAATAAGCTTACCTTTGCGGTTTTTGTGTTCGACGCCTTAGTTTAATTCTTTCTTAGCTCGGACGTCGACCCACGCACTTGTATTTTTCACTCGCTTTCTACCTCTCTTTTCTTTGGGCGCCATGCTACGCTTTCTACGAACCTCAGCTTGCCGAAGTTGGGTTTTGGCTTTAACTGATATAGGTGGCAACTTAGATGGGTCAGAATCAGATGTTTCCCCAGGAATATAATCAGGATCAATGTCTGAATAATCTGAAGTGAATACTATATTCGAAGCTTTTTGTTACGCTAAAAAAATTCATCACCCGCGTAGTAAGAGAAATAAAAATATGAGCTAAACTTACCTGAATTTAACGGCTCAGCAGCTAGACTTAGCTTCCTTGCATTTTCCAGAATCATTCTTGTTCTTGAATTCATTTTTTTCACTGTAAAATGACTTTTTTCTCGTAGCTACTACTTAAAACGTGTGCAATAATATTCACCATAACCTCAAATTATGCCGCGAAAACTATAGTAGTCAAACATGCTATACCTCCCACGACTTTTGCACACTCAATTTGATATGGTCTTCCACCAAAGAGAGCCAGATTATACCTATCGATACAATATAGTAAGTCAAAACCCAGGATTTTTGAGTTACTATAGTCTTCGTTGCAGGGGTCGATTTATGATGTGATTTGAAATTTTGAATTTGCAGCTTTGATATTTATTAGGATATTGGAGAATTTTCGGCAATAGAAGACAAGACACAAGATACATTGTGTCACATAAGGAAAGAAGCCTCAGATGACTGCGAGAGCAAAATTTTATTAACAGTACCTCAAGCGTTTTACCAAAAAAATTATATTGTGCCTTTTTGGCGCCAATTTACATCTCAATTGCTTGTCAATCGCCCCACCAGCACAAATTACCAATGAATACCGTTGGCATCGCAAATTGATACCTGTATATCAGGAGTGAAAGAGTGCCTTGACGAAGTCCAAAGTTAGATGAAAGAACACCTTTGAAGGGCTTTGTTGCCGTTGGTGGACCAACCATTGAATGAATGGAAGCACCGTATTAAAATCATCCTCCTACACTTCTCCGCGCCCAGTGGACTTATCCCTTAAGAAGAGTTAGGGACACAAATTGTGTAAGAGTCTATAAACTTTTACTTTTGAGTCAATCGGCGATAACCCCGAGCAATATTTATAAACAACTTATGATATGATGGTGCCTGACACTCTTGATCAAACAAATGGCAAGCACTTTCCTTTATTGTTTCATATACTGAGTGACAAAAAAGGTAAACACCTACGTATGTTCATTAGAATTCAAGAATTTCCCACATATCGATTTATCTTCCCATGAATAACAAGTGATAAAGTGGTCAGCTTTTCTGTTAGGTATTTGTGGTGGCTGCGTGTATTGTTTGGTGATAAAGAAGTATTCCGTTTTCGTGCATTTAATCATTTTACTAGTAAGGGACACTGAACATATATGCCAAAAACTATTAAAATTGAATAAACATACGTAGGTGTTTACCTTATTTTATAATTCAGTATATTTACTCTGCTGCTTCGTCACACATTATGTTTGTTGTTTCAAGCGTAGTTGTGTTTGAACAGGAAATCTTCGCTTGGCCTCGACTGTACATCAAGTTATGTTTTTTGCAAATGCTTATATACTACAGAGTCATCTGGCGACGAAAGGAAACATTTTTACAATCCTTTATAGCCGCCTACCACCACCTGGTTGGCGTTCGAAGACTAGTGTGGTAAATAATTTTAAGTTTATTTGCAAAACAAGTAAGTACATGCAGTTTTTTTTTTTGTAACATACTAGTACTTAGGCATTTATAGTTTATAGCAAAACAGTTTTTTTATGCGTATTTAGCGTAATTCTCGTTATTCTTATGTTTGAAATACGGCGTATCCGTTTGGTCACGTTGCCCTTTTCGTAATGTGACCGTATGGATACAATGACCGTATGAACTACTCCTTAATACATATTTATGTTACAAAAGTTTTTTTTCAGAATTTTACTATAAGCTTTGCTAGCTAGAATCGTAAGTTATGAGAGCGACGAGGAACCTGCTAATTCCTTAGAAACTGCAGATGTGGAAATGGAGGAAACTGATTTAGACGGGGCATTAAATGAAGGTAGAGACGACGACCAGTCAGCAAGAAGGGAAGCGCAGAAAGACATGTCAATACCTTCCTGGAACTGGGCTAAGGATGATCTAGAGGAAAGAGAAGATTTTGTTGAGGCATATCAAATTTACTGCAATGAAGAAAATCCTAGCGCACCTCGGTATTTTTTGAAGTACTTCTCAATTGATGCTACTAGAAATATTGTAGACCAGACAGGCCTTTATAGCACCCAGCAAAACGGAACCAGTATAAATACGACAACTAACGAAATTACTGATTTTTTTCTCAATTAATGAAATCAAACTTTCACCCTGCTTATTGGGTCAATGTAACCAAATGGTGACATTTTCAAAAGTCACTTTCTCTTATGTCTTGTTTAGTTTTGATATTAAATGTTGGAATAAAACAGTTTTTCTTTTACTATGTTTGTTCAAATGGATAACGGGTTAAAATAGACGAACTTTTAAGCTTTTAGCCCCACTGAACTGTTTCAAGTTTGTGTCATAACAAAATTCGGTAGATATTTCCGCTTGAGTTGATAGAAATGATAGGGCGGATAGTCTCTCTTGGCTCGTCGTGCTCTTCAAGTAAGTCTTAATCAGCTTTAGCTTTGAGAAGCTTTTTCCATCAGCATGATTTCTTATGACCATTTTTGCTTCGACATTTTCACAGCGCATTACACGTTCTCTGCCGTTTTGTAGTTTCAGGTTTTTTAAAGTTGTCGTATGTTTGCATGGTTTAGGATTTGTAGTTTGAGTATTAGTGGATCTAAATGTTGTATTGAAAGATGAGCAATCGCAAAATAGAAAACTGAATGGTCACAGGATAGGCAAATCTTAGAAAAACTCATCGCTTCTGAAAAAAAACAGCCACACAATTAAACATACAATATTAAAAAGAAATATCTTTACGATATTTTTTTTCTAATTGACGGCTCTGGAGTCCATTTCTTCTGAACCTATAATCATCCAATTGCAAAAAACAGCGTATTTTTTAAATTTTCTTGTTACTTAGGCCATCGGCGGTCGTCTGCGTCGCTGACGCATAACGCCGCCGCTGGCTACGCTAGTCAAACCGCACTGATAGCCGCTCTCGAGTAATAACAGTGATAATAACTAATACCTGTAACAACTTTCTCCAACATTTTGGGGTATAACAAACGAGTGTACCCAAAGGGTGTCCCGTTCAGGACGCACACCACGCCATGCTGCACAGTCATTCTTATATTTCACAGCCACCTGCGACCAATTGTTTGCCTGTCGTCGTAAGTTTGTCCTTAGTTGGCGCTAGCGGGCAAGCTGTGCCGCCCGCCGGAGCTGTGACACTTTTCCCTCACCGGATTTTTTTGCCTGGATTTCCTTGGTCGACGTATCATGGGTGAGTAGGAATTGGAGCAACTGATTTAGATATGGAAAGCGTACGCGCGATGTAAGCTGCGAGTGGTAAATGTTCTGGGGGCCCTAAGCGGACAAGTAAATCTTTAACCCTCAAGTGGCGTTGTGGGGTCTGGTGCTCCCTCAGAACTTTTCTGCCCCATGTAAAACTTGCAAATTCAGCATTCAAGCCTAGACGCGCCAACTACCTCTAAGTTAGTGCACTCATAAGCCACTCCGGCGCGCACGTCTACTTTGATTTAGTGTTGCTCTTGACAGCGAGCGGTAAAGTTCATTTGAGGTCTGTGTGGCACCACGACGCTAATAGTATATTATTTTTAAAATGGCGGGTTCTTCCAAAAGCGTGCGTTTTGGGGACTCTAAGCTTGAGAAACCTTTACGCCAGTGGTATGATGAACTCGAAAGTGAGTGTAGTGATTATGAGGACTATTATTTTCCCCCAGAGAGTGACCATAACTCTGATTCTGAGATGGAAGATTAGGGGGACAATGCTGAAAAACGGGAAAGTCAGTCTAATGGTGAAAATGAAGAGGAGCTGGCAACGACGAACGGAACGTTCTATTTTGGTAAAAATCGGTACAAGTGGTCTACTGTTCCGGCCAACCCAAATTTAAATATCGGAACAAAAAAAACATAATCTGGTGAAAGTTATTCCGAGACTGAAAGGACCTGCAAAATTTGGTGATGTCGCTGATCCGTTAGAAATATGGTGCGATCATTTCTCAGAAGATATGGAAAATGAAATAATTCTACGGACAAATGAAAAGATATTGGTATTCCAAGATAAATTTAGTAATCCTAATCGAGCGGAACTGAGAGAACTAACAAAGGAAGAATTTAGAGCGTTTCTCTCTATATTGTATTACTCTGCAGTTTTCAAGTCAAATGATGAAGACTTTCAAGAAATGTTTGCAACAGATGGAACGGGACGAGACATATTCAGATCCATTATGTCTTTGAAAAGAGTATATGTGTTGCTCGCATGTCTAAGGTTTGTTGACTGAACAGTTAGTGTAAATGAATATTTTTAGTCTTATCCAATTGCTTTTGTTTTAGGTTTGACAATGCAGATGATCGAGAAGTACGTAAAGCTTATGATCGAATTGTAGCAGTCTCTTGGATATTTGAGCGTTTTGTGAAAAATTGCCAAGACTGCTATTCGATAGGAGAATTGTGTTGTATCGACGAAATGATGATAGGATTTCACGACAGATGTAGATTCCGCATGTACGTACCTAATAAACCTAGGAAATATGGACTTAAAATTATGGGTGCGGCAAAGAGGATGGACGGTTTTAAAAAAATCATAAAATAGTTAATTTTTACTCGAAAACAAATTTATTGATGGAATCACGTTCACAAGGAAATAGCATTTGAGACAGTCAAGTGGTCAAGTGTGGAAAATCACATTAGGCATGTCGTGGCCGAAATCGTTGATGCAGTGCTGGAGGCATTCTTGGAAGTTCGCGTAGACTCTCTCCAACATCGCTCATTCAACTTGGGCGACTTCCACGCGAATTTGGCCCTTCAAATCATCCAGAGTTCGGGGCTTGTTCGCGTATACTCTAACCTTGAGGTGTCCCCATAAGCAAATAATTGCATATAGATAAATCTGGGGACCGAGGAGGTCAATGAACATCGCCAAACCTGGAAATAAGGCGACCAGGGAAGAGAAGGGCGAATAACGTCCATGGATGCTCGGGCTGTTTGGGCGGTCGCCCTATCCTGCTGGAACCACACGTCGGATTGGAACACGTCGCCGTCGTAATTCAGGGAGAAAGAACTTGGTGATCATGTCGAAGTAGCGCTCTGAGTTCACGACCATTATCGACTTCGAAGAAGTAAGGGCCAATGATGCAAGTTTGCGATACAGCGTACCAAACCGTTACTTTTGGGCTGTGCAGCGGTCTTTCGTGTAACTGTTGCGGATTTTCATTAGCCCAATAACGACAATTCTGCTGGTTAACCATGCTGTTTAGGTGAAAGTGGGCTTCGTCACTCATAAACAAAATGAGGTTCTCATTTTGATCGATCGGTGCTTCCATCTCACGTGCGAAGTTTATTCGTTGTGCATAATCTCCGGGCTGTAACTGTTGCACAATGGCCAATTTGTAGGGGTGAAATCGGAGATCCATATGCAAAATTCGCCTTATCGAACGATCACTAAGGCGAAGTGCAGCAGCATGTTTCCGGGCAGATCGAGTCGGACTGCGAAGAAAGACCTGTCGAACGCGTTCAACATTTTCAGGAGTTCGAACTGTTCGCGGCGCTCCTCTTGGTCTTCCGTTGATCAGTTCACCATGCCTGCGAAGTGATTCAACCCAATGAAGGATGATGTTTCGAGAGGGAACAGCTCTATTCCGATGAATGTTGAAGTGGCGACGAAACTCACGCTGTACGACGATGACTGACTCATTATTTCGGACGAAACAATCATAAGGCGAAAACGTGGTGCTCCACCGTCCAAGGCTCCAACTGCTAAAAAACAACAACAAAAAAATAAAAATGTCGTGCAGCAAATGTTCTCGACCTACGTGCGGCGACTGCAGGGCATATGTTTGCAAGAATTGTAGAAATATGTAACTTGTGAATAGTCCGCAGTTTTGTTGAGAATAATAGATTTTAGTTAAAAAGTTTATCTATTTTAGTTGCTTGTTCTCTATATAAAACGAAAAATAATAATTCCATTTTTTTATTTGTAAGAGCTTATGTTCTTGTGTCAAAAAACCTTGAAAACTACATTATGTACACTGTTTATCATTCTTCACTATAAATAAAAAATAAATGAATATTAGGCTTGCATGATTTTATTCCAGCTCAAATGATCACACATTGAAACAAAAGAAGAACACATCTTTTTTTATTTTTCAAAAAAAAAGACCAAACAAATGGGGTCCAGTAGACCCCAGGACACAGTTAAGGGTAGAATAAATCACGACGCCAGTTGCGAGTTAAGGTCTATCGTAATAAGTGATTCAAATGTTTATTTTTCAGATCCCTACTAATACTATAAATGCGAATGGGTGTTTGTATGTTTGTGTGTATGTATGTTCCCTTTTCACGCCAAAATAGCTGAACCGACTGAATGAATTTTAGCATATGGACGGATAGAGGTTACATTTTGTTGTGAAAATTAAGCTCAAGGGGGTTGGAATAGGGGGTAAAAGTTACTGTTACATATTCTGAAGGTTAGAAATACAAATATGGATTTTTATATTTTATTCTTTGGAATGATGTGAATGAGTCTTCAAAAGGAAATTCCATGAATTGCACCCCCAAAGGGTGAATTAAGGGTTAACCTTATCAAGGACATGTCAAATTAGACCAGCCTAGAAGTAGGATTATGTTTTGTCCATTATTTTATCTATAAAATAAACACATTAGCAAGTTGCTCCAGAAATTATATAAATCATCCTTAAGTTGGGGTACCAGGGAGTCGAATCCCTCTATTCACTCTCGAGGACTATTTGACTTATGAACACGAAATTCTGTAGAAAGGTAATTTGTGGGAAGAACACGTAAGCGTAGAACGAATTTTGCTATACCCTGCAACCTATAGTTATGATAAACAAACTCAAATTATAAGTAAGGAGCTTATTCTAATTTATTTAATAAATAATTGGTTTCAGTAGGCTATATAAAGTTACACTTAAAGTAACTAAGGAAAAAACTAGAATTGTAGGCGGCGCTATAGTTATGGTCTACAGCAGTGGTCGCCAACCCGTCGACCGCGAGCTATCGGTAGCTCACGAAGGCAATTCTGGTGGCTCACAACATATTTTAAAAAGGTGTAAAAATCAGAGAAGCTTCCGTTAGTTTTGTAAATTCTCATAATAAACACTGTGGTGAGCGGTCTGTTTATCAAAAGGCTTGAGTTTTTGGAACAAAACTTAACCGATGGCGATACCCGGAATTTCCTTGTTCTTTCAGAGAAGATATTAGTCCATTAGAACCATATGATAGTAGATATGATGTAGAAATAGTCTCTAACTTGAAGGATAACCTCAAAAATCTTTCTGGCCAAATCAAGACCATGTCTATGTTCTCTGTGAATATTACATTCCGCCCACTAGTGTAATCTTTTTTGAGACAATATATTTTGTTTTCATTCGTTTGTTTTTACCTGTTTACCATGCCTATACAGCAGGAGTTCCCAATCACTGGGGCGCGTCTCCCAAGGGGGGCATAGAGAGATGTCAAGGGGGGCGGATAGCGTTTGAATTTTAGAAAGAAAAAACAAACAACATTAACAAATAACATTACAATTTAATGTTTAATTTACACGCGTAAAATTAGAAAACAGATATCATATTCACTGATTCTGTCAACAGCTGTTTCAAAACCCGGCGTCGTCAATCGCAGCTTATACCAGTTTCCACAAGTCACAACATGAAATCCGCGCGCATCCCCGCCGCGGATGAGCATCTGTGACATTCATTCCTACAAACTTGCGAAAAAATTGACGTCTCGATGTATTTTTTGTTGAGAAATCTGTTTGAGTGTGAAAAATTATTGTGTGTCACTGTTAAAGGGTAGGTTTGTGTATTTACAAACTTCAGTTACCATTCTTATTTGACTTACTAAATTGTTGATTGAGTGGGGATGAGTTCATAGATCGGCCATTGGGAATTTTTTGCCTCATCACGATCAAACCAACGTGGTGAAATAATTTTGAAACGACGAACATTAAATAAATAACATTGATTCCAAATATGTTGAAAATTACTATTATAACGTCAAGCTGCCTACAAAAATATAAATCTCCCGGTGGTCAATATCGTGTTGAATACATTACGTTATTAAGATAAAATAATGGGCATATAATTAGTAATTAAATGTAGGTATTTTGGTTATTTATTTTATTGTTAGAGGAAGGACGCCTATTATCGGGTACCTTTTCAAAATTTTCAGTAAAACTTTTCTATTTATTCCCAAAAGCTAATTGGTTGACATATTTATTGCTTATTGTTCCTAGTTTTGTTTTACAAGAGATAATTAAAATTAAGTAAACACAGTTGCTGTTATTCAGAAAATTCGGAAATGGTGTCATTTCCTTAAATTAAAAAAAGGTTGCCTAATATCGGGTAGTGTCGATTCCAAATATCGGGTGCCCGATATTAGGCTACAACTTCTTTAAAAAATGAAAAGTAGCAATATTAGCTATCTAAGATATTTTATTTTACAGTAAGACACAGGTGAATACAAAAAATAAAATAACTATTTCTCAATAACCAGAGAATAAAGTTCAAAATAAACAAGTATTTATCCATCTAAACATAATTCACAAATAAATGATTTCTCCTTGCCTATATCTGAGCAATCTTCGTGACACCAACGCAGACACTTCATGCATTGGACTCACTTGGATCCAGAAATATCTTCAGAGAACCAGTTGGAACAATAAAAGCATTCCACATCGACATCATCTTGGTCCATGTCGTCATCCGTGTCTACCAATTGAATTTCATCACTATCAGAACTGCTAGATGAGCTTATCTTCCTCTTTCTTCCTTTTTTTCCTTTGTTATCGATTTTTTATTGTTAACTTTTTCCTTCTCGTTTTTTAGTTTTGATTTATTTTGATTCAGGCTAACTTTTTTCGGTGTGATCTTTTTTCTTTTTTTCAAGCTCTCTTCTAAATCTGTCTTATAAGGCGTAGAAATGAGGATAGCTGTTGCCACGTTTACCTCCTTTTTTAGAAGCTTCACCCGAACAACCTGGCCTTGGAGACTGATGTTTTGTCTTTAGGCTAGGTATAGGACAAATATCCTGAGGTACAACGAGCTTAGGTGTCGAAATGGGTGGTGTAGTTTCTCTTTCTTTTCTTAAGTTTTCAGCAACAGCAGGATCCACAGCAATCTGATTTTCGTCATTATCTCCATCGACTGATTGTCTTTCATTTGAAGAATGGATGGCAAATTCGTCATTTCGGAAAATTGTCGGTTGGAATGGAAATATTCCACATTTTCTAAAACCATTCACTTCAATTTCACAACTCGCTGCTCTTAAATAGGCTCTTCCCATTAGTTCCGATATTTGATAGGAAGTTACAACTCTCCCTGGATTTGCTCTAAGCCATGTTTCAATTTCAGCAGCATAATAAGTTTTGAAAGGTGACATAAAGGAGACATCGAGTGGTTGTAACTTATTTGTAGAATGGGGAGGTAGGCAGATAATATGGACGAAATTATCTCTGGCAATGTTGATAACATCAATATTCCTTGAATGAGAATAGTGTCCATCTAATATCAAGACAACTTGTTCGGATTCGCTAGGTTTTACATGTAAAATAAAGTGCCTCAGCCAGTCTGTAAAAATGTCTTGATGGATGACATCTGGCAACGGACCCCGGGGGAGCTCCATTTAGAAGCTCAGGCTTCATATTTTTGCGGGGAAACATCAACATTGGTGGTATGTAACGACCGACAGCGTTCATACACGTTACAATAGTTACTAAAGCACCCCGTTCCGAAGCAGTTAAAGCTGCAACTTGCCCTTTTCCTTTCAAACTTATCACTTTGGCATGTTTCTGTTGTACTGTCGTAATACCAGTCTCATCAGCATTATAGATAGCTGCTGGATTAAAGCCAACTTTTGTCAATACGCTACCAAGGAGGTTGAAAAATGCTTGAACATTCTCTTTTGTAAAACCCTTAACACGGGCTGCAGAAATTCCCTGTGGTTTTCGGAAAGACAATTTTGGGTGTCTTGACATGAACGATTTCAAATGTTTTTTTCCAGCAGCGGCACTTCGGCAAGAAGAAGGATGCTTAAGCCCATTACGTATCGCTAGCTGAAAGGCTAGTCTTCTTACATCTGACGCTCGGAGACCAAAATACCTTCTTTCCATTTCGAGAGCATACTCAACTAGTGCTTCTTCAAGTTCATTTGTTAAAGTAGGTTTTCTGCCTAATTTGATAGCAAGTAATGTATCAACCGGTTTCTTACTTATTACATAATCAATCAGTGTGCTTTTGGGCACGCCAAATGCATTAGACGCCTTGAGAGTTCCCATTTCCTTGTTCTTAACTGCTTCTATTGCCCTCTTCATCGCTTCTGCATTCCATTGCTTTCTTTTTTTTTGGAGGCATCTGTGAATAAACAGATGCTTAATAATTATAACTTCAATATAATGAAACAATATCTACGTCACAACATCAAGTGTTCCTTATATCGGGTACCCGATATTTGGCATCTTTACATGCCCGATATTAGGAAACATAACCTCAAAAGATTACGACAATATATCTTAAAAAGCAAATCGAAAGGGACATTTTTCTAACCCTTAGTGGATGGCTGCAAGCCTACAGAAGACATATGAACATAAAAATAAACAAAAACAGACCTACCTTTTAAAAAAAACACCAATTTAGTTAACACTTTCAAAATATTCGTGGCGGATTTCACACACTTCCCGTGTTTGTGGAAAGAATGAAGGTCACAAAAACATATGAACGTTACAGGTTGCATTTAATGTGGTTCCTGTTACATGTTGGTCATTATAACAGTAGATGGCTGTAGTAGCTCGTATAATAAACCGCTGCCCGATATTCGGAACCTACCCGATATTAGGCATCCTTCCTCTATAGGTGCAAAATGCCAGCGAAAAAAAGAAAGTTTTCCGAAGATTACGTTAAGTTTGGATTTACTTTCATAGAAAAAGACGAGATACAATTGCCTCAGTGTGATATGTATGAAAGTTTTAAGTGATGATAGCATGAGGCCCCATCGCCTTAAAAGGCATTTGAAGCAACAACATCCTACTCTGGTTTTGAAGACGAAACAGTTTTTTTCTTCTAAAGCAGAATCACTCAAGCGAATGTGACTGGATAAATCGGGAGGTTATCACTCAGGTGTATCGCAGCATCTCAAAGCTTCATTTGAAATAGCCTTTATGATAGCAAAGCAAAAGAAACCTTATACTATTGGTGAAGAGTTAATAAAACCATGTATTCTAAAAGCCACGCAGTCAATTTTTGGGAGAAGGTACAGAGCAAAAAGTGCAGCAGACATGAAGTCACAAATAATTAACAAAGTAAAATTATCACCATTTGTTTGCCATTAGTTGCGATGAATCCACCGACATCGTTAATTGTGCACAGTTAATAGTTTATGTTCGTTACGTCGGCGGAAATATCATTCAAGAAATTTTGTACTCCCCATCTTTGACAGCAGTTACTATATCTGAATATACGGTAAAACCGGGATAGATGCCCCACTTTTTGAAATATTTACCTAATTTAAGACCATTAAATTTATACAAATAAATAAATTCTATGAATGCAGCTACTTCAATCCCTTATGTTGAATAACTATCATCAGTTTTGGATCTATCAATTACAGATTTCGCAGAAATCCGCTTTTCGTGGAACTTCTTTTTTGAGGATAGATGCCTATCTATATGGATAGTTGCCCCGCCATGAAAAAACTAAAAAGGATAGATGCCTATAGTGCAGGCTAGATGCCCTTCATATCCTGTAAACAAAATACTCAATCCAAATGTTAAGAAGTTCTATTCCTAAAACAGCAGCATATTGTCTCCAAGAAACATGGGTCATAATAATGAAAACATTTTGTTTTTATTTAATATTTTTATTGTTATAATTAGAAGATAATATTAATATCACACAAATTAGGAACCCTCATTAAATATTTTAGAGGGCTTGTTTAATTAACATATAAATTCTCAAGTTACAACATTCATAATCATATTTTTTGGTAAAATCAACTTTACAAGCATTTAATCAACAGAAAACATAAATTCTAAATTGTTGTTATAAACTATTCGTACCTATATTAAGTATCAGTATAAACCTTCAGCTTGTCAGGTAGATAGTTCCAGATTTCTTTCAATAAAACTTTTGAGGCATGCGCCTTCAGCCATTTCATTATCGTCGTCGAAATTATGTTCCAGATTTAGTTTTTCAGCAAACTGATAAGCTAACATGCGTATGGCTTGCCTATTTGGAGGAAATCCTGCCTCACCAAGTTTAAGAATGTGTTTTACTAGCCTCTTCTCGTTGTCAAAATCTAAAACAGGATGCTTTCCTAAAACAAATAACTAACGTTAATAAATCTATTAGAAACAAGTGATAGCAATCAGTAAAATAAAAGTTTATGATATCTTGTACTACCTACATGATTTCTAATACATACCCATCGTCAATTTTGTTTTATTTTTGACAGCATATTGTCTTCTCAATGTCCTTGATGGAATACCAAATTGATACGATATTGCGTTTATCCCCATAGTTTTTTTGTCCATTTCATCAAAATCTGCCTGTAGGCTTTCTGTAGTCCAAAAACATACTCGAACTTGCACTCCTTCCTTTCTTTTATATTTTCTTGACATGGTTCTGCTAAAATCAGTAAAATGTCAAAATGTAAATATGTTATACGTAAATATAGAAAATATATCAAACTAAAATATTTAAATATAATAATATGTATGTGCTTATGCCATATAAGGTTTAAAGTGGGATAGGTGCCCCTAAGGGCAAATACTAACCTTCAAAACTTTGACGTGTTCGTAAATTTTGCCGCGGAGATCATGACCCACACGAGCGAAACGCGTCTTCTCAGCACGATTGTCCGTGGGTAACTGTGGTGCGGGGTAAGTACGGCCCCTACTTATACAATTAATTTTTAGTCGCGCGTTCGGGAAGTTAGGTTTTTAGAATATGAGGCATCTATCCCGCTGCGGCGTCTATCCCGGTTTTACCCTATATTTAATTCAATATAAAATTTTGACTTTGACTTTGCACAGATGGCGCACCTGCAATGATAGGAGTACGATCGGGTTTAGCTAAAAAGCTCAAGGAAAAGAATCCCGCAATGGTTAGCTTTGGCTTCCAAAACAATGCCACAGAAATTACGCCAGACTTTGGACTAGGCTAATAAGGATTGTAAACTACATCAGGAGCAGTGCTTTGAACAGTCGGTTATTTAGTTTACTTTGCGAGGATCTCGATTTTGATTACAAAGTTCTTCTGTTAGATACAGAAGTACGCTGGCTGTCCAAAGACAACATATTGGCTCGCCTTTATGAATTGAAAGAAGAGGTAATTCTTTTTCTTGAATTCAAAGAAAAATACGATTCCTTGACAATGTTCAAAGAGGACACATTTCAATGGAGGTTGGCTTATTTAACTGACATATTTGACTTCTTGAATATAACTTAAAACTTGAGCGCGGAAACAACACTATAATAAGCAATGATGATTATATTCAGGGGTTCATATCAAAGCTTCAACTTTGGAATCAAAAGGTGCCTTCTGAAAACGTTATATCTTTTTCTCGACTGTTCAAAACAATTAAAAATAACATACTGAACACAAATTTAAAAGCTGATATAAATACTCATTTGCAAGCGCTGAAGACTAATTTCGACGATACTATCGAGGCATCAATTCAGAGTCACCAATATGGCACATGACAAGAAATCCATTTGTTGTCGATGTGCCATAATTACCAGAAGAAGTTCAGGAAGAATTTCTAGAAATGAACGCTGATTCGCCTGTCTTGCTTTACGAATACTAGTTCCTTTTTCTTCAACTTAATCATGTGAGACAGGATTTTCTGCTCTAGTTTTAATTAAAACTAAACAGCGAAGTCGCCTTGATGTCCATAGCGACTTGCTAGTAGCACTGGCAAAAACAGAACCTTGAATCAACCAACTCGTACAGAAACTGCAATTGCAAGTGTCTCATTAGTATCTACTCTTATCTTATTCAAGTTTTTCGATAAAAAAAAACACTAATAACAAATCCATTTTTTATCTATTTCAAAGTACCTAACCTATATGCACCTATAAAGAACTCACAAATGATGAGTATTCAATCATCGGTTGCATTAGTAGAGAACAGCACGCGTATTACGTATCTTGAAACGTGACATTTTGTAGTTTTTTGACATTTCGTAGGTTTTTTGTGATATAAAGGTTTTTCTTCAAGATGTTGCTTTAGCACAAGCTGTAGGACACTTGTTGTGAACTAGTTTTGTAGCTGTACCTATTACTTAAATGTCAGCAAGCAAACGTGGAATGAACTATTTGCACACTAAAGACTACCTAGTCTGGTAAATTACATTTCGTCTGTTTTTTTACCTTTTTAGGTTTTTTACATGATAGCCCTGCCGAAAACCCTTAGATAACAGACTTAGGCCAGAGCGGGTAGGGGCAAAGTTATATCGACCCGTATCCTCAGTTTTGTTGTTTATGAATTTGAATTTGTTATTTTGATGCAGGGTAGTATGTAAATATGTAAATAAAACGAATAAAGAGAACTATTGTTTATTTTTTAAGACGGATAAATTGTAATTTCAAATGTTATTCTTGTCATCACTATCAGTACAACAGAGTTTTACCGGTCGTCAAGCCGGTTTTCTAAACACTCGACAGAGACAGACGCAAGCTAGAGCGCTAGATTGGATATTAAAAAAAATAATCTTCCCCTGAAAATGCTAACAAAGCGAAACAGGTGCTGGGAGTTTCATAAATCGGTTTGACAAGTGATAAAGCTCTGTTGTAGTGACATTTCTTACAAGTAAGGATCCAACGTCACATTACACGTTGTCCTTAAGGTTATATCAATTAATATTCCTGTAATAATAGCAGAAAGATTAAGGTATCCACTTTGTCCGGGTCTCCCCTAAGTGTGTGTCCACAATGAGCTCCCAAACTGGTGCGATAGTGGTGGAGGTCATATGCGTTTTGATGATACCAGCGAATATAAATTTGAATTTCGCTCGTAAAGTATTATGTTCAGCGCAAGTGAGACCCTCTGAGAAACAAGTCAGTTACGAAAATGTATAACAGACAAATTAAACGGATCAAATCGGTCGAACAGGTCCATGAATTAAGTCCATAGACATTCTTTTCCTTCTCTACCGGTAGCCCATCTAGCGCTGTCGCCTCTTCCCGATAACTAACCCGGTCGGAAGCGATAGTCTGACAGTAATACCAGAACACTTACCAGGCGGAATGCCGCTGGGTTCAGAAACAGTTGCCTGTCAAAGGCATTTCTGTCATTCAAATTTACGGGAAAACCTTTCGTGTGTGAAATATGTCTAATAGATGCGTAGAATTGCCGAAATTGCAAGCGTATGGATATACTAACATCAAATACTATATACCCTCTACCGCCCCTCACCCTCCAATTTTCTAGCTCTGATGTTTTTCCGAACATGATCAGGGTCCTACAAAGTCTAAGAAAAGCGAGGTTAGAGTGATTTTATTTTTTTTTGTTTCCGGCATTTTCCTTCGCAGCTATTGGATAGTTTTCAGAAACTATGAAGCTTTTTCGTCCTTAGCATAGTAGTAACCTTGCATGTATATTTTATCCAACTTCAAGTAGTAAGTTCTTAGTTATAGAGGGGATATAGACTGACATACAGAAATGAGTGACATTGTATCTCAAGATGTGCATGTCCATCTGTTATTGCAAAGATGATTCTAATTTGCAGAGAGCCGCGGGACTGTAAGCGCGTTCAGATATAATTAAGGTAATAAGGTAATCGACACCCGAGCCATACAAAGGCAATGTAGGATTGGCAGATTGGCACGTACCTGGGTGTTCCGGTCGCCTGGTCTGGAGGAGCTTCTCTCTCTTCACAGCTTCTTCTTAGGTTCACCACACTTGCCTTAGCGAACATAATGTACCCGGTTTAACTAGGATTCTTTTTCGAGGTTTTGAAGGCGACCGTTGCCTTTTCCGATCTTTACGAGATTTTTAAGACGACCGTTGCCTTTGGCGATCTTTTACAAATTGACTTCACGAAATCGTCTTCCTCTTGTGCGTATGTTTAACTTATATTTATTTATTTATTTATTTATTTATTTAATTACACCACCAACAGTTTATAAACCAATTACTGGTGGGCAATACAGTACATGTATATATAAAACTAATTGCATTGATTGCTTAGTAATTACCAATAAGAACCCATGAAAAGCTACCACTGATCATAGCTCAATCAAACTGTGGTAGCTCTAAAAAAATTACTGCTTTACATACTTTCTTGATAATAGAAATGGATGTGTTGAAGATATCAAAATAATTCATATAGTCATTATAACATGAGCATATCGAATATAGCGGTGCGTGCAGCAGTAGATTCGTTCGTGGGGTAGGTAGGTAAAAGGCAAGGTTGGCCCTTGTTCGTACTCTAGGTGTTTTGAAATTTAGCATAGACAAAAATGATGGACAGTCATGTTGGTAATTTATAACTTTGAATACAAAGACTAAAGATTGTATCTTCCTTCTATCATCAAGGCTGAGAAACCTATGCTGTTGAAGTAAGTTATTTTGTGAAATCCCTATGGGAGGATAAACACCATCAGTTTTGAGAGATAAATACTTCAAGAACTTCCTCTGAATTTTTTGCAATGAGTCACATGAGGTAACATAGCATGGGTTCCAGATTATTCTTCCGTATTCCAGCTTAGAAAGATCAAACGAATTGTACAGCACTGTAGGTGCTGTTGTACAGATAAACTCTCTTGAATTGCGTATAACGAATATTACTCCTAGGTCCCTGAACTCCTCTAAAGTCTGAAGAGGAGTGTTGTTAATTTTATGACTATTGGTAATTGAATTTACTCTCCTAGTGAAAGTTAAAGATTTACATTTGCTCACGTTGATAGGAAGTTTATTAGCAGCACACCACTCAGACGCGCACGTGCCAAAGAATTTTGAATTTGTATGGCTTTTGAATTCAAATAATGAAGCATGTTTTTGAACTTGCATGAACACCATCCAAAAACCATAATATCTCATTTGTGAAATTTTTCACGATAGAAGTAGAGAACCAACTGGGTTTAGAGTATTACACGAGTATATTGAGTACTGACTGACCCAGGCTGAATCGGGATCGTCTCCAAGCAACCCTCTACTCCCTTTGGCATTCACGTTTACAAGTCAGATATTCCCACAAAAGCAATAAAATCGCGTAGGAGTAGCGATTTGTCGATGTTCGGATTGGTAGCATCGCATAGCGAAGACATTCGTAGTACACAACAACGCCATATAGGAGTAGCATGCACTTTGCGGCCGGCAGAGCGGCGCATTCTATGAATCTTTAATCGCATAAATTCCGCTACTGCAACATTCTCGCCGGATTTATTGCTCGAGATCCGGACTTTTACGAGGATTACATCGTGAAAAATTGAAACTTTTAATGAGTTCGCAATCAAAGAAACGTCGGCGAGTTATATTGCGTTGCTTTTATTGAATCTCTAATCCATTCGCTGTTTTCCCTATACAAGCTAGCGGGTTTTTGAGACACGTAATTTTTATGTTATATACAGGATGGCACAAAACGAACGTTATGCTTCAAATTCTTCATCTTCCTTTTATTTAAATGATGACCAACATGAAATTATTTCGCTCACAGTTTGTCAAATATGAAAACAATATATCAACTTCTTTATTCAGAAATTTTGGTGTCCCTCAAGGATCTATTTTCAGTCCCATTTTATTTGCTCTTTGTATATGTGATTTTCATGAAACCGCCAACTACTCAGTCGTTCATCATTAGATACGCCGATGATACCCAACTTTATAACGACTTCGATCCTGATCAATGTATTCTTGGGCAACATCAAATCAATCAAGATCTCCAGTCTATTTTTGACATATCTAGTGCTCACAATCTAAAACTGAATGCTGGCAAATCTTGCTGCATCTTATTTGGGCCCAAAAAGAATCGTGAAATAAATCAATATCGCATTAATAGTATGTCTAATAATGAACGAATACAAAAACCTTGGTATCTGGTTTGACTGCAAGCTACGCTTCACTAAACATGTTAACTAACTATGCAATGCGTCCTATAATGTGCTTCGTCAGTTATACCCGAGTCGAAATGTCATGTCAACATAGCTCAAGCTTAAGCTCTGCGAATCCCTAATCCTGCCAAAATGTGACTCTCTTACAACGTAATGCCGAGCGGGTTCAGATGATACAGAACTCATGCATTAGATTTTCTTATGGAATCCGTAAACTTGATCATATTAGTAGCGCATTTGACCAATCGGGATGGTTTAAGATGAACAAATTGAGGAAACGGCATTGAACATCTGCGGTAAATAAGACCCATCTCCTAAAGTGCCATATTATCCCTATTCAAAGACAAGCCTCCTCTGTCAGTACGATCGAAGATCCTCTAGGAATAAACGCACCTTACTCATCCCGTGGCATTGTTTACACGTAGTTTCTCGTACTGGGCACCCAAACTATATAACTGCTTGTCAAGTGAGTATAAAGAATATAACCTAAGCAATTTTAAAAAAGGTTAAAGATGAGTTTAAAGCAATCGGATGGCTAGAATTTAACTTTACGCATATCCACAGGTAATTGATTGTTTCCTTTTTCTCAGAAGTGTACTATTTTAAGATTTTCTCTTTTTGGTGGTCAATGTTGTGAACTGTATAGGTACTTTTTTTTCTCTTTATAGTTTGTGTCAATCTTTTTTAGGTCGGGCTGAAAAACAGCATAAGCTGACACCCCACCTTTTCGTCACTATTCCTTTTATACCAACTAGTCTGAAATCATGTGACGAATAATGGCCATTTATTATTATTATTATTATTATTTTATTATTATTGTTATTATTATTAAAAATTACTACACTAATGAGAAATCAGGTTAGTACAACAAAAGCTTCTGTCATCTACACTATGCTACTCTTTTTTTTATGCTCCAACTACCACGAAGGCCTAACACCTAAACACCCAGTGGGTACCGTGCGGCTATAGGGGGATACAGGGGAAAGGGGGAACGCCACACGGACTCTGGCGAGGGAACACGTGTGCATGCAACATGCACACATTCTGGCTCCGCCTACGAGGTCCGCCGGGTGGTACCTCCACGTTCGACAGTCAGAGACCGTCTACCAGCTACGGACAATCGCAACATCCATAGCCAAGAAAAAAATTTCTCCTGGGACGGGACTCGAACCCGCACAGCGCACGGCGACTGATCAGGAGACCGAAGAGTCTACTACTGCGGCCACCGCTGCTGCCTGTTACTACTACTACTACTATGCTACTCGAATGTTGTCTTCCAATTAGGAAATAGTTCTTGATTGATCCGTTAACACATTCGTTTAAGTATACCTACAGGAAGAACTCAGGAGTGACTAAGTCTGTCGAATGCGGAGGTTAAATTAAATTGACTTTCCGCTAAGAAAACCTCGTTAACAAAGTCACAAACTAGCATGTGCTGTTGATTGCACAGCTCTCATAAAAAAATGTGCAGCAGTATTCGATCCCAAGCGCCAGTATCAGAAACTGGACCTTCTTATGCACTAGCTCGTAAACGTTCGATAGTTCCACCTGTCAGTACTACCAGGTTCAATATTGTCCTTTGTTGCCAAAAGTTAGTCTTGAGATTTTTAATACTGAGTGTTGGCGAGCCGTTGATTGGAGTTGCGACAATATGCATGCTGAAGTATAACGACAGACCCCAGTCTTTAAAAATAAAATACGACCACTATTATTATTTGCGCTACATATTACTTAGTATCCAGTTATGCCAATTCCTAAAGCTGGGTTGTCACTGCGCGAAACTGTTTCGCGAAGATGATTCGCGAAAATGTTTCGCGGAATATGTGTCGGCGACGGGGTGAAACGTTTCGGGTTGAAAGGTGAAAACAAGGTGAGTCGCCAGTTTACGCGAGACAATGTTCCTGGTAACTCCCAGTGCAGCATTAGCATTTGCAACTATTACGGTGAATTTTTTGAGAAAGGAAAAGAAAAAAGTAAAACAAGACGCCGATGGTGGAGCAGACAAATATTTCATCGCAGATCTCAATACGGAAATAGACTACTGAGGGACATGACAGCTGAACCTTGAGAAGATATCATCAGGAACTTTACTAGGATGACTACACAAGACTTCGAACATGTCATGTCACTGGTCGAGCCCAAAATAAGAAGAATGGATACCAACATGAGAGAGGCTATAACCGTTAAGGAGAGGTTGACGCTATGCTTAAGATTTCTTGCCACAGGTGATTCCTACACGAGCCTGCAATATCTCTTCAAAATATCGAAGAGCGCAATATCAAGAATCATTCCAGAAGTTTGCGATGCCTTGATCGAATCACTTCAGGAATATGTAAAGGTAAAATAAAGTGTTTCATATGCTTTTATTTAGAACAGAAAAAGTATTTAAAAGTGCATTGTTTTTACATAGGTACTCAAAAAACATTCAAATGTTCAATAATATGGATTCAATAGTGGTTGCTGGAACGTTATGTTCTGATGTGTCTGATGACGTGGGGAAAGTATTTGATATTAAAGGGGGTGAATCCCTCGAAGAGTCATGTGAAGTAGAAGACGACTCAGTAGGCGACGTGTATGGGGTGGGTGTTCGAAAGGTAGTGCCACTGCTGTATGGTGAAGGAGTAGAGTATACTCCCATATCTGCATCAAATAAAATATTTGCGAAGGCTCTTTTGACGTGCGCCAGTGTGGTTGGATCATATTTTCGCAGTTCATTTGCCAAGTTTAAGGCGTAGGTGAAGTACGGGTCATTCGAAGAATTAGCCGATGACTGTATGATCTTTAGAGCTTCATTAATCATTTGGGAGTCTACGTCTTGCTCTGCTGCCTTGCGTTTGGTAGCAGTTCTTTGCATCCTTCTGCTACCAGGAGCACGGAAAGTAGTGTTTTGTGACTCTTGCTGCTCTGTGGCAACAGATGTTGTAGCTGCAGGGCTGACTGAAGTTGTCTCTGTAGAAACTTGCACTTCCAGTTGTTCCTGAAACAAAAATTATGCTTTCAGGTACCATCTACTACAGAGGAGTGGCTTCAGATCTCCGCCGAATTCGAAAGAAAATGGCAATTTCCTCACACAATCGGAGCCATAGATGGGTAGTACGTTGTACTACAAGCACCTACCAATTCAGGAACTGAATACTACAACTATAAACATTTTTTTAGCATTGTGCTTTTTGCATTAGTCGACGCTGACTACAATTTCATTTATGCTGACGTAGGATGCCATGCCGGATATCGGACGGTGGTGTATTTAAAAATACGACATTATACAAAAATTAGAGGGGCGTGTATTAAAAATTCCGCAGCCAGAAGTCTTGCAAGTACCGTATTTTATAGAAGTACCATATTATATATTGGGTGACAAAGCGTTTGCTTTGAATGAATATACGATGAAACCATTTGATGGTAATCCCGAGCCTCGTTCAGCAGAACGTGTATTTAATTACCGTCTTTCTAGAGCTCGTCGCGTCGTAGAGAATGCATTTGGAATATTGAGTTCAGTATTTCGGGTATTGAGGAAACCCATGCTTTTGGAACCAAAAATAGCAACTAAAGTTACATTAGCAACAATATATTTACACAACTTTCTACGCAAACGTTCTTCACGTGCAACATACACACCGCCTGGAAGTTTTGATACAGAAACACAAAATGGCGCAATTGTAGACGGCCGTTGGCGCAATGATGAACCAACGACATCGTTGATGCCAACTCGCAACATTCCCCGAAGATCATCCAGACACCACACAAACGTCCGTCTGCATATAGCTAACCACTTTATTTGGAACGATCCTTTACCGTGGCAAGAAATCTATTAAGAATCTACTTACTTCAGAACTCTCTACTACTTCTCTATCCATAGTTTCTCTTGGGTTGTCTTTATCGGATAAGAAATCGAAATATTTGTAAGCGAACCATTTAGAGTTATATACATCCTCGATACCTGTAACAAATAATGATAATAGTAATAATAAATTAATAATAAGTTAATATCAGTCTATGGATTTGAAAACAGTAAAGGATGACTTACCGGACCCAGAGAGTCTGCTTTTGTTCTTCCTTGACCTCTCGCTCCTGTAGGAACCCATCAATGTTTTCATTTTGATTTTAAAATATTGACAGGCTGCTGCATTTTTGCACTCATTTCCTTCCATGCGTCCTCTCTCTTCATTTTGTTATGATGAGCCTTATCTTTGGGGTCCTGTAAAAATCGGTAGGTTTGATAAAGTTCAATAAGGCGTAAGCTGCTCTGTTGATCCATTTTTGGCGCGAAAACTCACGGTGCACGTGCACACTGCCCGCAACACAGAAGGCGAGGCTCTTTGATGCGCGATCCAAAACCGACTGGCGCTGGCTCACGTCGAAACATACTCGCGAAACAAGTTTCGGCGGTCTACAAAGTATAGACGATGCGAGGCTTGTTTCGCGAAGCAGTTTCGCGCAGTGACAACCCAGCTTAAGAAATAAGCAGCGAATTTTGAAAAACGACCGCATTACAGTTATTTCATACCATAAAGCTCATTTTGCACTACCGTGTACAATTTAGGCTTTAAAAAGGAGGTGTTGAAACTTGGACATACTGCTCAGAAGACCACTGAAACCACCATTATTTGTTCAAACGGTTTCTGGCTCTGGACCATTTTTACCAAATAATTAGTATTTTTCCGACCAGTTAACATTCCATATAGAGTAACACGTCAATCTCTGGGATCTCCATATCCATATAGAACATGAAAGTACTATGTTGGAGCTCCCTGTGAAAAAACGTTATCCTGGGCGCCCCTGTGGAGATACAAGCCCCTAAAGGACGACACTGGAATCAGTTTTTCTCAAATAAGCTTTGGGCGGCACTGTATCAGTCAATATTTCCACTGCTGAGTAACCAGTTGGAGCTCACTTATATACCGAGTGTCTCAAATTCGACCCTCACAATTGGTAACTCGCAAACGATAAGAGATACGAAGTCGCTTAAATGAGGATAAAGTTGACTATTTAGGTAACTGACCGTGAGTTTCGAAATGCAAAGTACTTTCACGTAACGTAACTTGGAAAGTGACACTATGTCGGTTTTTTGACATTATGTCGTTTTTTGACATCTCCAACAAAACGTTAACTTAGAACTAGCTGCTGTTTACTTCATGCTCACTTGTAGAAAGCTTACTTAGTCAACAGGTCACCATTTTATCTTTCTTTTTTGTGTTATATAGGTTTTTTACGTAATAACATTGAACATACCAACTGAGTTTGGAAAACTGCGAAGAACAGATATAAAACGAGCAGCGAACACAATGTAAAGAGAAGAGTCAGGCTTTGCCTTCTAAATAAAGAGCAATGTTTTGAGCATTTGCTATGATTTACCTTTGCTTATTTATGATTATTATTGTTGTCACCATGAATAGATAACATTTTCATTTTGTGTTCTTGTTTCGCTATAACTTCTTATTTCCTTATAATTTTCATTCAACAACAAATTCATGGCGAACTGAGGAAATAAAGTGTTTAATTTCGGGCTGAAAAGTCCATTTAAATTTATAATATTCTAGTATAGCGTCCAATTAAAAACAAAGTTGGTGATGAGGTTCGAAAGAAGAAATCTCGAATTGAAAATTTAACTACGCCATCTTGTAAAGGAGAACAATTGACAATAAAGACATGAAATTCATTTTGAAATCACATCTCAACTTCAGGAAAAAATTAAAATGATTTTGGTATAAGGGTCCTACATTAGTCCTTCCTACAATAACTGTAGGATGCTTTTATGGCTTCGTATTTCTAGATTTCGACTGTTACGTGTCAGCGTCAGCGCTCTCCTATTGTGAGGCTATGCTTTCTTTTCGAATTGTAGATTTGAGGGTGATATTAACAGATGGTATAAATCAAAAGCATGAATAATCAGATTTAAATAGATGTTTGTAACCTCAAAAGAGAGTGCTGACACGGAACCGTAGAAAACTATGAAAATCAACGAGGCCATAAAGACGTCCTACAAGAGTTGTAGAAACGACTGACGATACGACCCTAAATCTGGTATACAGAACTAATGACAATCTGATGATTTTAAGGCCAACATAAGAAATTATGCTTCTTTGAAATAACTAAAGTTTGACGGATCATAGTACTGCGTATATTTTTTACACCTTGGCTCAGGAGCACCTACCATCTTTGGAGAACCTGATTCTTCAGCTAAAAAAATAAAAAAAACCTTGAAAAAAACTGTTTAAGGAAAAACACTCTTATTTCAGTACAGTTCTATCAATTTGTGTGTTGGATTCAATATAGTGACACCCATCCTGATAACAAATTCACAGTCAGAGACTCTAAAAAATCGGAGATATAAATTTTTAGAACATTCGATCAAATTTTAGATTTTTGTTGAACTTTGCGGTGATCGCGGCTGCAATGTAAATCTGTAGGACTGGTAATGATTTATTTTTCAAAAATGGTTTATTTTACCGAAATATGACAGTACGTTTTCCTTAAGGCTAATCCGTCTCTGGTAATCTGAACGAGCCATTTCCTTTCCATAAGGGCTCCTATTTCTGCAGGAGAAACCCGGAGAATAGCTTTATAGGAAGTTGTGCCATTATTTTTTTGTATTGTTAGCATGCGGCATATTTAGAAGTTATTCTGGTATTATACCGGTGATTATAATTTCTTTAAGGAACATATGAGAGAGAATTTAATGAAGGAACTAGCAACTTGAATTGAATAGAAACTATCTGAAAGCTGCACCACATGAGTTAAAACTATAAAGAATAACAGCTTACTTTTAGCAGTGATCAGAGTACTATGTCGAAGCAGGAGCTTTAAATTAACTATCGTATCACTTATAAAATATAACCGGAACATTCAACGGTCCCGCTTAAGATGCTCCTCAGATAAAACACCCTCGAGATATTTTTCCAAGAGAGAAAAAAATCACGTGGGATGCCGCCAAAGCGCCTTTTAACCTCCAATCGAACCCCGCAACTTGGAACGACTTGAAAATTTATAAATTATCCGTGAGAGTTGCTACTGCTGTTACTGGTGCGGAGTACGCGCCAAGAATCTCGATCACCCGAGAGTTTCCTAACTCCCAGGATATTTTCTAAGGCGGCTGTGTACATGATACCCGATGATGTCAGATGCATTGGCGTTACCATTTAAAATTGCGTAATTACATAAGTGGACTATTTGAAAAAATATTCGGTTATGGATGGCTTGCGCGATATCCAGCATCCGGATAAAAAAATATTGATAGCTATACATTGAATTAAGTTGCTAACAAGATAACCCTTCATTCTTTGACGCCGTCAGAGGAAATATACTGACTAGGTGTTTCTCAGGCATTTATATTTTTATATTGAGAGTCAGTCTCAATTTATGTCAGGCACATTTTTATTGTCTGTCATCGATCTAAATGTTAATACATGTTATATACTCATTGTGATACTGCCAGGGACTGTTATATTACTTTAGTAAAATGTTTGAATCAAATATAATATGTTCACTATATAAACCGGACGGAAATTGTTCAACACATTTTTTTATACTCCAACTACCACGAAGGCCTAAGGCCTAAGCACCCATTGGGTACCGTGGGGCTATAGGGGGATACATGGGAAAGGGGGAACGCCACACGGACTCTGGCGAGGGAACACGTGTGCATGCAACATGCACACATTCTGGCCCCGCCTACGAGATCCGCCGTGTGGTACTTCCGCATTCGACAGTCAGAGACCGTCTACCACCTACGGACAATCACAACATCCATAGCCAAGAGAAAAATTTCTCCTGGGACTGGACTCGAACCTGCACAGCGCACGGCGACTGATCAGGAGACCGAAGAGTCTACTACTGCGGCCACCACTGCTGCCTACATTAAGAATTATGTGCGACGAATTGAAGAATGTTGAGCTTTCAAATGTTTTTGACAGTCACAACGAAATTCGGCATTTCAAAGAAGTGAGAAGAACCTGTATGTGATATAGAGACAAAACTAAACGGCCATGCATGGACAGTCGTCAAAACAGTGAAAACATCCTATTAAATATAATCGACCTATTATTTGTTACATTTTCATTGGTCCATTTAAATATAACGGACCATCTTTTGTGAAAATGGAAATTCTATGAATGTTATCCTAATTCGAAAGCTCAAAGACATAATATTACATCTATATATAAAACAACCGCTTTTTCACGATTTTATTCAATATTTCAATAGAAATTAGCGACACTAGGATAGCTTTGACAGCTTCCGTCAAATTGAATTTCGATAAGCTGCTCCCTAATTGGTCGAAGGCCCCGTTAGATTTAAGTCTTTGTGAAATCGGTCCTTAGAGTTGCAATTATACAAGCTAGAGCTAATTTGTAACCTGATTCGAGCCTGGGTACAGCATACTTGTATAGCGTTTAACCAACCTTTCAAAACACGTATCAGGAACTTTGTCGGTCAGCTTCTGGTAACAATTCTAAGCACTCCCTAGGATGCCAGAAAAAATGTGCGCTACTGATCGAAAGGGTGTATATGAGAAAGAGAATATGAAAAAGGTGCAAGTATGAACAACGTGATAAGGATTCTAGAAGACGTGCTGCTTCTGACTTTGCAGCGAAGCTGATGCTACGATATAAAGCTTCGACATAAGCATATATTCTAAGAAATTCATGCACTGCACATGAGAAAGTAACATTACGTATGCTAAAATGTCATGTTGCCGCGTTGGGACTTCAAACCAGATCTTGACAACTGCCTTTTTTTCACTACTAAGCTGAGAATAAGTTACATTTCTCCCCTGGGAAAATAATGATAATGAAGAAATATCTACGTTAATTACAAACGAGTGAAACCACTTAACTTTCGAATATTACAAATATGTAATTATTGTTTACAGCAAGTCAGCACAAAGTCGACCTTATAAATGAAATGAACGTTGATTTCATTTATCCAGTTATGCTGACAGCTTGAGTGCCTCAGGCACAGGTCTCAGGCACCTTGATAGATTGGAAGATTTGAAAATGAGAGAACGAATGATGCATCAACGTACGTAGCATCTTCTATCTTTGTCAGACTCTCATGGAACAGCAGCATCCGTTTTCTACGCATAGACATTTCACATCCCTTATCTGGAAAGTGTACTGAAACATATTTTATACAAACATACCCCGGTGGAGAAGGTGATTATTGTCCCCGCACATCATGTTCCTCGGCACTATGCGCTACAGGACATAAAAGGCATATTATAGATTCGTACATTCCACAGCAATTTGCAAAAGATATTCTGTGTACATAATTTTTGAGCCCAGTCATGCTGGATGTTTTGACACGGACTCCGACAAAGTAGAATGTAACAATGTTTTCATCCGAACACACAATTGCTATTATATTCCTTATCCAGTATTATTTAGCTTGTAGGCACTCAGAGTGCCATAACCATTTCTGTACTTGTGTGGGAGAAGAAGAAACTGGTAACTTCTTTCTCTCTGGCAGAATGACTGGCAGTAATCAAGCAAAAGTTATAAGGCAAAGGATATGGAGGTTATCCTACCTAAGAATGCCAGAACATAAAAATCCATTTTTACTGTCGATGGCTACATGAGCGGAACTTAGCACAGTAAGGTAATTTGGGGCTCTCAATATGAGTATCGTTCGGATCGGATCTGGGGTGAGAAATACTCGTGAATTCTAGCACTAAATTGACACCGAAATCGGAATCTACGCCTCCAATTTATTTAGACAACAATCTTCCATCTATACCAGAGTTCCCCAAACTTTTTTGTGTCGTAGACCCCTTGCCATGTTTTTCCGTGTTGGGTAGACCCCCTACTTACCTGACATTGATTTCCTGTACATTTCTAGCTGTAGTGAAGTTTAGTGTTAAAAACTTAAAGTAAAAACACATGTTAATTTATACATTTATAAATTGAATTTAAATTAAAACTACTCAAAATAAAATTTTGTATCTGTTATGTAAAATATACGTAACATTAAATAAACAGGTGTCTGACCAATAAGTGCCCGCATTGGGAATAAGTGCCTGCATTGAAAAAAAAATAAGAGGGATAAAATAAAAAAAAAGTGAAAAACAATAAAAAAAAAAGTTTTTTACTGAAAATAGTACAATAAACGAGTTCGTTTATTAATTATAACATAAACGTATGTTCTACAATAAGTTCACTGTTAGTTTGATTAAATTCCGCTTCTTATACATTTAAGTTATCTAAAAATAGGCAAAATTTAACGAATTTTAGTGTGTACCTATCCCTGAATTTTCAGAATAACTAAAAAAAAAATATTTTCTATAAAGGGAAATTCTTTAAAAAAATCAATGCGGGCACTTATTTCCAATGCGGGCATTTATTGGTCAGACACCAATAAACTATAAATAAAATAACATAAGCAATAAGTCAATATTTTTAGTGAGAAGGATGAACCTGACGCTTTAATAATAAATTATAAACATTTGACGTCAATTTTGTAAGGGTTAATCTTAAATCTCCTCGGCTAATGATGTCCAGTCTGTTTCTTTTCTTCGTTAGGAGATTGGTAACAGCGCTGAACCCCCTTTCCACTAGGTATGACGATGGAAAGGAAATTAAAAATTTCCTCGCTATATTCCATAATACGGGATAAGTAACGGGTATGTTGTTTTGCAGCCAGAATTGCTGATATCCGTTTTTGAACTGAACCTTAAGTTCTTCGTTTGTACTTAGTTAGTGGTATTACCATAGTCAAAATATCCTCAAACCTAGATTCAAAATCTGAATAGAGGGCATTTAAATGTTGAACGTAAGTTGAAACGTCGTCTTCCTGGCAGCTTGTCTGTGACAAATTGGGGAACTGAGAAGATTCGTCCCGTCCAATATTTTGCTTCATTAGTTTAGCTCTGGCAAGAAACGCTGATAAGATGGACTTTGTTTTAATCAAATTTAAACTGTCGCCTTGTAATTGCAAATTAACCATATTAAATTTTGTAAACAAATATGTTAAATAGGCGATGCCTGTTTCCCTCTTCATTAAATTTTCTTTTAAAATTTTATCTTTAGTATCCAGAAATTCTAAAATAGTCTCAAAAAATGCAAAAAATCTTGTCACACATAAGCCTTTGGACAGCCAGCGTACTTCAGTGTGAAGGAGTAATTGATGAAAGTGTTCGTCATTTTCTTCACACAACTGTGCAAATAACCGCGTATTCAACGCGTTGCTTCGGATTCAGTTTACTGCATCAATGACTAAATGAAGTGTTTCATGCAATCTAACACCCAAATTTTTAGCAACTAAATATTGTCGATGGATGACGCAATGTATTGCTAACACCCCTGACACATTTTGTTGTAAATAGCTTATAAGTCCACGATAACGTCCAACCATGGCAGGTGCTCCATCTGTAGCTACTGGTATTATATTTGATAAAGGAATTGCTTTTTCAATGAAGTAATCCTTCAAAACATGAAATATTGATTCACCTTTGGTGTCGGTTATCAAAGTTCTTGCGAAGAGCAGTTCTTCGTAGATTTCTTGATTCATAATAAAACGAAGATATGCCAATAATAATGCTGCTTTATCAGGTAAAGTTGACTCGTCCAGTTGTATAGAGAAATGGGTCGTTTGCAAATAATTACATAAGAAGCTTTCAATATCAAAACTCATTTCGTCAAAACGTATTTCAACAGTATTGTTGCTTAAGGAAATTCTTTTAATAATATCAGATGCAGGTTTGTGTAAAACAGTTTTTAAAACCTCTTCAACGGCTGGCAAAATTAACTACTCTCCGATAGGATGCGGTTTTCTGGATTTTGCTATAAGTAACGAGATATTGTAAGACGCCCGCGCTAACCATCATTATTTCTTTGTGACGTCGAAGCGAACATTCTGTCCAGTGTAGGTCTCTTCTGAAATTTATCTTTGAGTGTTTGAAAGTATTTCAAATCTTTCTCTGTTTTATCAGGGTGGCATCTTCTCAGATGATCTTGCAGTTTAAAAGGTTTCATAGCGTCATTGCCCAAAACTTTGTTGCATAAAAGGCACATAGGCGATTGTTTGTCCGGCAATGATGGAATAAAGCCAAATTTCAAATAATCAACAGTGTACTGTCTACATTTCTTTTTAGATTCGGACATGGCATCAGTCATCTGTGGGCAAAATTAAATTATTTAAATAAGACAGAAAATCCAGCAGCTGTATATTAAAAATATTTTTTTATTTTTCCGAAAACATTCCATAATTCGAACATCTTGCAACAGTTAGCTCGAATTACGGAGATTGCACTGTAATTATATTACCGATTGCTAAAACTTTCAAAAAGAAACTATTGAAGGGTACTAGTGTAATTTTGCATTATTGAGTATTTAACTACTAATAACTAAAGTCATGATTGGCGTAATTTATCTATCTTTGCTAACTACGAGTACAAAACTAAAATTTAATAAAAAATAATGTACTTACTTTCCTTCAGAACTCTCAAACAAAATAACACTGACTCACTATAATTTGTGTGACATACTATCTGTTTAGATTTTTTAAAATATTTTCTTAGCACTTTCATTTTCAAGATTCAGGAAACGAATAAACGTATTTGTCCCACATTCGTATTTATAGAGTAACGAATTGAACAAATCAGTGCAAGGTAGCAAAGCTCTGAGACTGCGACTCTCAGGTTTTTACAAGTTCAAAATGTATTGCGACCACAAAGCGAATACCAACATCCTACAACTTACACAATTTTTTACTTCGTAGGTACTTTTATAAATAATATATATGTTTTGATATTATAAGATAGTATGATGTAAGTAAATAGGTACTATCAGTGTATGTGTTGAGATCCACTATCGTGGACCCCCATATTCATTTCATGGACCCCCAAATTTTTTTTCGCTGACGTAAACCCCTTGCAGGTTGTCATAGACCCCTAGGGGTCTATATAGACCACTTTAGGAATCAATGATCTACACCATAGAGGCGCACCAGTTTTTGGAGATTTTATTAGTCTTTTTTTGACAAAGTAGAGTTCTTATCAGTATCTCGAAAACGAGGCATTTTCGGACTGAATACCTTGATTTAGTTTCAGCCACCCTAAAAACGGATTATGAGAATGGTTGGACTCACATTCCCGACTGACCCATTTTTGCAATTTTGCATATACGAGTACAGTAGAACCTCGACTATCCGAATCGTGATTATTCGAAACAGACCGCATACAATAATTTCTCCGTTTTAACCGAAGTTGTTCGGGAAATCGGCGCATGATCCGAAATATTCGCCGGTAGTTCCCCTTTCGGCGTATGCGTCATCAGATTCGCTGCCGGTGATTCCCCAAGCGCGTTTGCGGAATTCACTGGTATGTGTGCGTGTATGTTTGTTTCAGTCAGGTTCATAATCGTTAAGATGGAGCGGCATAGAAATAAACGTAAACGCATTGTTCCTACCATAGAACAGAAACTTGTGGCAATCAGACGTTTAGATAGAGGTGAACTGCTTAAAAACGAAGCAAATGATTTGGGTGTGGGCGTGAGTACCATTTCCGAATGGAAAAAACAACGCGAGAAGATTGAAAAGTGGTCTAGTGTTCTGACATCATCCCAGCCGTCACGGAAAGCTATGAAACAGGGGGATTATCAAAAAGCGAATGAAGCTTTATATCTGTGGTTTACACAGAATCGAGAACGTGGAATACCAATTTCCGGACCAATTCTAAAGCAAAAGGCAGTCAACTTAAGTGAAGAATTGAAAGTTATTGAGGCGCCTGATAACTTTACAGCCAGTGATGGTTGGCTGCATATATGGAAAAAACGAAACGGTATACGAGAATTAAAAGTTTGTGGAGAAAAGTTATTTGCCGATAAGCCCGCTGCATTAAAATTTGGAGAACATTTTAGAGAATCAATGAAGCAGTATGGTTTAAATCCAGAACATATTTACAACTGCGACGAAACGGGCCTAAGCTATAAAATATCAACGGCGAAAAGTTTAGCTTCAAAACAAAAATCTGGAGCTCCTGGTTACAAACGCAGTAAAGCACGTGTTACTATCTTTGCTTGTAGCAATGCTTCCGGTACACCCAAACTTCCTTTGGTGTTAATCAGAAAATCAGCTAAGCCAACAGCATTTATACACGTCCGTCCCAGCGCTTTTCCAATGCGTTATAAAAATCAAAAAAATGCCTGGATGGATGCCGCTCTACTTAAGGACTGGTTTCACAAGGATATTGTTCCCGAGCCATCCAAGTGAGGAGCTACTTAAAAATGGAGAAATACGAGTGATGTTTTTGCCTCCTAATGTAACGGCACTGATTCAGCCAATGGATCAAGGAGTTGTAGAAAATTTACAGCGCAATTTCAGACGTTTGTTATTAGAGAAAGTTTTAGATCAAGTTGATAATGGTTGAATCCTGGTTGATTGTTTAAAACAGATTAACCTCAAGAATGTGGCATGTCGGATAGCAGAAGCATGGAGCCAAGTAAAAAATTCTACTTTACAAACAATATTAAAGTTATTATATATATATTATATATTATAAGCAAAATAGAGAAAAGGAAAAAATAAGTAAAAAGGTATTGGTTAAAAAAAAGGGAAATATGTGTTCGCATACTCTATGTAACTATAATAGAAATAATATACAATAGTAATATTAAGTAATGGATGTTCTATTTTCTATTAAAGCATAACATTATACTGAACATAAGATCTGGCCAGTTGGTCGAGACCAGTGCCAATAGCAGAACAAAAAAAAAACAAAATATGGAACTTTGCGCAGAAATTTACTGAGCTCGTCGTAAAAATAGGAGGGTGTGAAAATCTTACCTAAGCAGATGTTGGTGAGTGAATTAATGGCGATGAATTGGTGGAAGAATTAACTGATACAGAACTAATAAAAACTATTTGTAATAAAAGCGATAAGACAGTTTTAAGTGATGTTAGTGACAATGAGACAGAAATCTCTGTCAAAATATCACATTCTGAGGTATTAGAAGCTCTACAAAAGGCGTTGATTTGCGTCGAACAACAAGAAAATGCTAAAGCAGCTGATGTGCTATTTATTTATCAAACGTTGGAGGGATATTGCTGCCAAAAATAGAAACAACGCAAAACGTGTACAGTCAAAAATTACTTCCTTTGTTACTTAATACTCGTAAATATGTATGTTTGTACCCAGAGGTTTATATTTTACGTAACATTATATAGGTATATACTCACTTAACACACGCATTTACTTTTTTCAATAAAAACATTATGAGTCTAAATAATTCCGCTCTATCCGAAATTTCGATAATCTGAAAGCACTTGGGTCTACATTATTTCGGATAATCGGGGTAACTAAAAATTAAAATGCTTTGCGGATGTCATTTCACATGTATCTAATCCCATTTATCATGTAGTAGTAGTAGTAGTAGTATATTTTAGGGCCGCTTTCACCAACATTAATATTATGGACCAATAGGAAAATACCTTATCGAAATGCAATTTGACGGAAGCTGTCAAAGGTCTCAGAATATCAGTGATTTCTATTAAAATGTTGAATAAAATCGTGAAAATTCGACTGTATTATAAACAAGACCACTTTTTGATTCCAACATGATGCTTTTGTACAGAGAAAACAGGACAACTTTCATGTATTTTGATTTATGTTATAGGTGTACATTTGACCATCCGTTATCCTCTCAGCGAATGGGAATGGGAGAATTAATATGTCGACTTTCTATCTGTTAAATTTGGCAGCAGGTTTGGTCATTTGTTAATTCATGGCAATCTCAAAATTTGTTAAGTTCAATATACTGTGTGTATATATGATCATTATAGCTACACGTACCTGTTGAATTGTGCGGATTTGCAAGAAAATAGAATATAAAATGTATTCCAACCAATTCCTCATCTCTCTTTATATCATATAATAGTAATCATTTGTTATAAATTCATGGGTTAATGAATTTTTTGAAAGCAATCAAAACAGTATGGTCGTCCCCATACTAAAACACCGATATGTGTAAAACATGTTAATCCCTACATCTCCGAGGTGCATAATGGAATTACTGTAGACATAGACCTAAAATTATTAGTAATTACTGAAAAATAAGAGCTAAAAAGAATTATAAATAGTGATAAAATATTGGTGGTTAAGGTTTTTGACTGGTGACTGGTGGGGATACAATATAGGGATAGCGACGATAGAGACAGATTTTCCCCTGCCGGCCCTTGACATCGTTTCGCAATATGAAATTCTGGAAACGCTATAAAATAAAAATGAATACTCTAAGCCTACTTGCCTATTTCAGACAAAAACAAAAACAACTGCCACATACCGATTGTCACCTTGACATCATTCTGCAATCTGTCAAAGTAGTGATGGGTGTGCCTGCTGCACGGTATACGGTATCTATATTCGATAAAATATTTTTCTTTCTACCATGAATGCGTGGAAAAACAAAATAAGGAGAGATCTAAAATAAGGAGTTATTGAAGGCCTAAACTAGCCTGGCGCTAATAATTCCTGGCCGTATTTGAATATCTAAGCAGGCACAGTAAAACAAAAATAAGACTTTTAATTAATAAAGTTTATTTAGACAGCTGGCAGAGTTTGCTCCACTGGGTAGTGGTGTTGAAAAAGTAATCATACGAAACTCGAGTACTCGTTACTCATAGATACCCGAAGTAACGAGTACCAATCCGAGCACGAAATGATTACTTTGAATATAGTGTAGATGTTTGTTAAGTTCCTGAACAACGAAAAGTATTCAACTTTATGGATGTATGGATATTAAAAAACCAGAATGGTTTTGTGGGAATATCAATCTAAGGTGCCATAATGGTTCTGATGAACGGCAAGTAAATGAATGAATGTTTGGAAACGAGCAATATCTATGAACTTTTTGGTAGAGCCAGTCATCAAGTAGGTGCTTAATGGCTATCTGCAAGAGGTTTATAGGAAAAAACACCCAGTAGATGATCTTGAATCAGTAAAATCGCATATCAATTGAAGAAAATAATATAGACATGAATAAAAAATCAACAATAGTAATTAAATCATGAATTTTAT